TCTACTGCCTGAAGTCGAAGGTCTGCTAACGCACACTGTTCTACAACGAGTAACGACTGGCGTTCGCGGCGTCCCTTACTGTCAAACAGAGGTTAAAAAACTTTGAGATTGTATTGATAATAGGACTTGACAGGTCGTTGACTGGTCTACTATATAGAGTGTCTAGAACAAACGACTATATGAAGAATCTCGCTATCCAAGTCGTAATACAAATTAAGCTCGACTGATAAATATCAATTCATCAATAAAGGTATTCGGTAGACGACAATTTAAAAATTAATAACGATGTATAGAAACAAAATGCATTACTTTGGAGTTTGCGTGTTATCTATATTTTAGCTTATAGCGGCCACTTACATGTTTTGCTCGATCGTATACATCGTTTGCACCGTTTTTCCTATTCTTTAGTTTTGCACATCCGGTTATAGTCGGACATTATTATAGATACTGGATTACACTCGCATAAGACTATCGTTACCCCTTATACCCCTAATGAAACGTTATCACGAACCAGAACATCAAGCCTGTAAATAGTTCTGCTCAAAGGCATCCGAATCTAGTTTCAAATGAAACGCTTAATTTTTAATTTCACGCAATGTAGAACACTGCCCGAAGATAACATTTTTCGAGCGTCAAAACTAACGGAAAAAGAAACCCTTTGAGAAGAAATGGATCGTTCTAAGCAGATTTGCCAGAAATAGAAAAACTGAGCTAAGCCTTTTCTGCTACATATTCAATATATCCTTATTAGATTTAACGTAGCGTAGCAGTCCATACACGTTCACACGGGACTGGCATGATCATTTCAGGAATTGCCATTTCCATTTAGTAAGAATAGAACTTGCCACTTACGATGAATACGCTCCTTGAACTTCTCTTGTAAATTCAACTTTATGATTGCCTCTGAAGGAGGTCATTCCACTTAACTCTAGAGTAAGTCTATGTTATAATGGATTAAATTAGTAAAGGTTCTCACAGCAAACTTATGTACGACAAACAGGCAGACGGTTGGCTTTGGAAAGCCAGCCCGTCGCTTTTACGATAATACGTTAAATGGCCAAGCCATTAAGGAAATTTGCAGACCACACTTAATCTTGCAAATGGAACTTCGTCAACTCTTACTTTAACCCACCCGGAAAAAAACGCCCGCACCAAGCAACATCATCGCTCATGGCAGTGCTTACAATAATTTGCAGTTATTCGTTTGGCCTTAGTATATTACTGTTGCAGAGTATGACCCCAAAAATGATGAGTCGTGCATTACTAATAATAAATATGCTTACAGTTAAGACTCTTAAAATAAAATAGACACTAGGATTAACCGGAACCAACTGCGTCGTAGGTCCATATAGGAATTATTGTTATATGGGCCAAAGGTGAAACTATACGAATCGCTATGGAAAGAAGTCAGTCATTCAATAAAACATCCATTCTTAGAAAACGCATCATTGTAGATAGAGCAGCAGATACTCTATAATAATTTACTGCCAAATTCGGCAGGTCGAGGATTATGATTTGCTTAGCACAGGTCTTGTTACGCAGCGTAAATTTGGCTTTTCAGTGGTCCAAGCACGGCCAGTTCCATTAAATGCATTTTGTTCGGAAAAAGAGGACCAACTATAATAATGTCCCTCCGTTCCTTGAAGCCAGCTTGACTGGACTGAGGCCTCTATAACCATCGTGGTATTGCATAACTCTGGCACGAATAATTGTCCATGTTAAATTCTATTACGTGGTCATGATTGCCTGCAGTGTTGTGCATATATCGACAATGCTATTTTATACGAGCAGTGCGTTTCGCCGATAAAACCGTTCAAGTCTCCTTCAAAAGTAACCACACGAAAACGACATGGGAAGCGGGGGTGACGAGTACGAAGCTATGGTGTCTCAGTTTAATTTGATATGTGTACCGTCTTTTCGCAGCACCCTCTAGCAGGAACGGCGTATAGTGTCGTATAGACGCGAAATGCAAAGGTCCGAATGGTCCCACTTCATTTTGACTCATATCATTCACAAGATTTCTATAATGCACATGTGGCCGAATTTCTACTGATTTTTGCATTTTAAATGCAGCTTTCCGACCGGCAAGTTTCTTGTGTAAAAAACAGAGCGATCATTATGCTTCTTTATGGTTTAACAAAAGTTCCATATTGTTTTATCTTTTAAAATGTATCCAAAGAAAAAATCCGCTAAATTACCTGTAAGTATCTCTATCTACCTATAAGTATCTATTAAGTTGCATACTGTCAATAAATAAAATCAAGCTTCTTTTGCCTGAAAAACGGAGCGGTCCATTTAGTCTTTGTTCCGTGTTTACTCCTCGTTGTAAATAACGTCAGTTACTCTATACTGCCTGCATATTTTTTACCAAATACAAACAATACTAATTGAACACCGAAACATTTATTTAGTTGTAAACCTACAGCTTCCTGATTATGTACGCGGATTTCTCGTACCTTCGAAATAAGCACTTATTTATTTTTGTAGGATATATGATTGCAGTTACATGCAACGCGGATTCCACGAACGTATTGCGGTGTTTCGACTTATTACCGGGTCTGCAGGCTCGTCTGCAGCTAGTTAGAACTTATCGAATCTTCCCTGCTCCATAAAAAGCCACTCATCTACGAGTAATTATCCGTTCATCTATTGCGCACTCTTCTTCTGCTACGTGAACGTAGCTTCGTCCCCCTCGTTCTCCTTTACGGGTTCATCCCCAAAGATGGCCAGTGGAGGATACACGAATATTTCGAATGTTGACGACAGAAGTTTTACTATCTGCCATTCCATCTGCGGCAACTCTGACATCCGCGACCCGTGTCGATGCAGCAAGGATTCAGATTTTATGGCTGGTAAACTACCCCCCGGCCACGGTCCTGGTAGTTTCCTCTGATAACGATGGAAGCTGCCCTAGACGGCGCAATCTGACCGCCTAACAATTGGACAATTACAATTAATCGGTGAATTTGATTGCGCTCGTTAGAGCGTGCCATTAGTGTGTTTCTGTACAGAAGCTGATATTATATTCTGACACAAACCATAACATCGAACTCGGGTAGTCTAAGCGACCTCGATGAACACCCAAGCCGAGTCACTATCCAGTTGTCGATGCCTGATATCACCGTCCTACGTGTGAACAATTTCTTTTTACATAGCACACATTTTTCCCCGAGAATGACGCTAACGGGAAAGCCTGCATTTGCGTTATAACCTTTCGCTTGACGCTACATTTGTACCAGCAACACTTCGACCATTATCCGATTGTAAAGACACTGAGAACTTTATATCGGAACAGATAGTGCGTTCGTTTTGTCCGTCGTAAAATGACGTAAAAATATGGCTAATCTCTACACAGAGGATACATCCGCACAGGGGCTTGCCAACGGTAAATCCAGTGACAGCGTTTCAAGGCATTCGAAAGGCACCTAGGAAATACCCCGTCACGTAGACCACTTCTACATACGAAAACATTTGCAGACTGATTGTTGTCCGTTTTGGTACGTAACGGCAGATCATTTACAGCTAGAAAGATGCTCACACAAGTTGCGCTTCAACTTAAATTACGACTTATATGATTGCCAACAGATAGACTGCGGAAGCGCAAATCATCCCTGACACAACGGAAAACTTTTCTCCTCGTACAAGATTAATTCAGTTATTTGTAGGTACAGTTAATGGCCTTGCAGGAAGCCATTGGTATAATATACGAGCGAATACATTTGTCTCGTTGGAAGGTCTATGACACACATTTCCTCATTAATCAGTAAGCAACTCGCTTCGTTTACCGGCCACTTCTCATCGGAAATGGTGAATATTAATGATGACGGTATCGCTTGCATTGATAGCGCCCATCCGTTAACGAACAAAGCGTCACTCAATGCTCGTCGAAGCGAGGGGGCGGTTTATCGGTTAATTTCGAATTTTATTGCTTTTTCAGTCATTTTTTTTCAATGAACAAGGAATAAAAAGACATCTTTTAAAGCTACCTCTATCGATTTGAGTTAATGTATTTTCAGACATAAACGAAGGATCTGAGCAAAGGCTGTTCTCAATGGCGCTACCGAAAATGTAAGCTTCACTTTTACGAAGCGGACGCTAACCAAGCGAGCTTTGCATTTAGCTATCAGTGAATTCGATTGATCTTCTATTATTTGTATGAGAAGGTTGAACTGAAAGATTTTAACAAAATGATCAGATCTTTTTTTGAAAAACAGGACACTCGATCGTCTGTGTCACCCATTTTTCGGTTACTGCAAAATAGAAGGACCCAGAAGAGCACCAGAACAGATAATAAGAGAGCATCGAGTTCTTTCGTCTTGCGTAGAAGCTCATCTTTCGGACCATTCGTGTACGTTAAAAGCCATACGTCTTATTCAGATAGGAATAGCGAGCTGTGTCGATGTTTTCCCAGGCTTCCTTCCATGGATTATAATAATCAACACCGAGAGATTTCTGCGAGGAATTAAGTTTAAGTTCGACAATGCCGATTGTGCCGAAGGCGTTGATGACTTCACCCTCTGAGATCAAAGTTAGGAAATTAGCTATGTTCTTTACATGTATGGCAGTTATTGTAACATTTTAGCTCCACAATAGGGCTGACCAGAATTTACTTAGCCATCAAAGCAACTGATCGCATGGGAAATTTTACTTGCATGGGAAACTGCAAGTAAGAATCGAAATTTTGACCCAGTTTATGGGGCACCGATTTGAGTCAGTTACAAAGAATATACGTATTTGGTAATGCATTGAAGCTGATTTTATTCATTTTCTATTCGGACGCTAAACGATCGTTTCGAGGTGTTCTTCTAGGGGTTCATCGTTGTTTCGGTCGACGTTATCCTATCGAGACTTGTTGAACGTCCGTTCAATTATGTTCTATGCATAGGTATCCAGTGGCTAAAATCTGGGCCGGTTGACGGCAGTACGTGCTCACCCCCCATAACTTCTTTGTATTCTCGAGCAGCTAATCCTGCGCCGACCAACACCATATAATCCACTTGCATGAACTGGTGTACCACCTTGTTGCAAGATATATGGTCTTCCTTCAGACACCTTAGCTATCCACGACGACACAACAAACTGCAGGACATGTAAATGAAATCGTTTAGTGATACGTTTGTCTTCTTAGATGAAGTACAATGTAATTGCCCTTAACTAGACAGAAGCTATAAAATGGACAAAACATTTGTTTCTAAAAGAAGTCGACACATTCTCTGTATCGTGGGTAAGCTAGCGATCATTTTTTTGGCTCATTTTTACATTAAGGATGAAAAATTTCGACACAGAAAATCGAAGAAGATCTGCTGCCTGATTTTTGAGACAAACGGTCAACACTCGCACTGTTCGTCCTTTATGATGTTATGCTGGAACTCTTTTTAAATTGCGGCCGTATGCTCACTTGCGACGTGACACATTTCCGATTCCGGGCGACAGTCAAAATTACCAACACAGCGTATCATTGTTGTCCGCGCGTAAAAATTTCTTGATTTTTTACGGCAGGCAGTAATTTCGTATGGCGCCAGGAAACGTAAATAACACCGTGTTCGTTAGCTATCATTTCCTATGTAGCATTATGTCATAAGTCCTGCCGAGGCAACCTAATTCTGTCGATTATACAAAATTATTATTGAGCCAGTATATTTTAGAGGAATAGTATTATTTAGATGTTTGACTCTGTTGTTAGTCTCACTAATGGTAGAGTTTTTGTCTGAGGGTAACAAGATCCACGCTTGACCAACATAGCTCATCGATCGTCTAGCTGCATGTACATTTCAGAGAGATCAGAGTACTAATGATAACAATGACGATTTACTTAGACGTCCATTAACAAAGGCTATTGTGCAATGTTTTTTCTTATTGATTTCTCCCCAAAGGACCAAAATGTCATCGTCGTATAATTTCAACCATCAGCAAAAGCGGGGCCCTACCGAGTCGTTCTAGAGGTCTCCGTCTGCGTCTGTTTCACCCAGTAGTTGCTTTAACAAGCCTCCCGTTCGCATCTGCTCGGCGGGCGCTGCTGCGTGGTAGTATCCTTTGGTCCGCTGGGATACCGGCAAGGGAAGAAGAGTCGGCCGACGGACAGAAACGAAATAGCGGTTAGATAGGGAAAGACGCTGATTAGCACCCCTGGGATTAAGGATGTCTCGCTTATTCCACTTATGCGACGACCTACTCCATAGAGGGAACTTGGTGAGAAAAAAAGGAAGCAAATACATTTTAGTTAGTGGTTTAAATAATGGCAATTATGGGGACCAGCGTTGTAGCAGAGTCAAATTTAGCCCGTCTGAAATTGTAGTTCCTTCTATAGGAACTAATTTGTACAACTTCTAAGCAATACCAGTCATAGATTTAGGTATCGTTCCAAGCTCATACAATACATATCATCGCTATCCCATGATTCTGCTTACTTATGCTAACGAAAAAAGAGGAGCCATACTTGTGGACATCTTGTTCCGCTTGTGTTTAGACGACTTTCACGAGAAACATTCAAGAACGTAATGCGTTATCTGAGAAGCAGAACTTTAAGGAAGTTTCGACAATAATATATGTACATTTGTTTAACACACACAGTGCACTACCTACAGCGTTTGCTTCAAGCTCATGTACAATTTTCGAATTTTGGCTCGCTAAGTAAGTGCAGTAGCAGTACCGACAGATCTCATACACCTTTGTCCCCGTAATCGATATTAGCCAATTATTGTAATTTTAATTCAAATATCAGATTGAAGTGATTCTTTTCGACGTGGTTGAAAAAGCACGTTTTTTTTATTCCCCTGACAAAAAGTTGTTTATGTAATGTATCCCTCGTCATTATTCATGACTTTTTTCTATCTTTCCAGCAAATGGTACATGTCGTCTCGCCGACAAAACAGCTTTCCGAGCACGTTTTGAGTTTTTCATGCGTATCGAAAGGAAGGCCAAAAAGGCGATTGCCTAGCGAGTGGAAAAGGTGGAAACCCGTCGGCGAAAGGTCCAAGAAATACGGAGGGTACTACAACACCTCCACAAAGCGCAGCTTTGACGTGTGTGAGCTCGCGCTGTGATGCAGTCAGACGACCTGACCTCATTTGTCGGCTCTTTTTTAATAGCCGGATCGACTCAATAGAACTGGTCCAAATAAACGCGCCAATCTTGTACGAAGCAATTCAAAGGCCTTCGCAATCCCGTCAAACGCAGTTTCTTGAATCAAGGTCTGCTTGACGAATATGGCTCAGCTTCTCTTCTGAAAATACTAACTAACTCCGATTTTCGGTTTACGTTGGCATACCAGTACACCACTTCTCATAGCTGATGACACCTGCGCACGCAAGTCGGTAACTGTGCTCGTGTGGTGCCGGACGAAATATTGATACCTAGCTAGAGTTCATGAAGTACCCAAACTCTAAGCTTCTGAGTAAATTCAGGGGACTTGAGGTGATTGACTGCTGTCCATTTTTTCTGCCAGCTTTTAAAGATTTGTTTGTAAGCCTTCTTCCTAAAGGAAGAGTCACCAAACCCAGATGCTTAGGTCGGAACGGCAGGAACAGAGAACATCTTCTGAATCTCGGACAGCATCGTTCAAACTTAGTTAACTATATATAAGCAGTCCTCTCGACCATAGCGTCGTTGCTGTATACAAAACAAATGTCCCGAGATGATCCTTACAATCATCTTTGACGAGTTCTAGAGCTGAAATTGTATTCACAATACCGCTACAAGACGCTTATAGGGCACAAAAAAAAAACGCTTTCAAACTGTACATCAGAGTTTTTCCAACGCAGTAACATTTTCCCAATCTGATCTTTGTCAGCTATACTCTACGAACTATAATTTTTCATCCTTGTTACATCATTAATTCTAGTTTATATCAGTACTTACTAAGCGTTTTTATACAGAGTCCGCACGGTTATTTAATGCGTAATATCCTATAGAAGGTTTCTAATATATGAACTTGTACGCCAACGACTAGGGGAATACCTCATCGTTCATGATTGGCCAAGGCGCTTTGGGCTACTGGTTTTGTTCTCTGCAGGATTGGCGCAGATACCTGGCACCCCATCACTTCCCCAGTCTTTTGTGGAACTCGTCTAGCGCAGCCAGCCATAGGTAGTAAGATAGCAGAATGTTTGCAGATCACCTTTTGACAGTCAAGTTGTGCTGTATTCGATTCTGATTTGAGATGCACCCCTCCATCCGAATTGAACAGACGGCTTCTGCGCGTGAAGGCGTGGGGGCATATGTAAAAGGAGGCACAATTCAATGCAACGAGAAGATTCGATGAAACAACCGGGAACCATTGTCACAACGAGCAGTAGTCGGCAGCAGGAGAGTTCCTTTTCGCAAGTTGACTGTTGCCTCTTTTTCAAGTGTTATTTACGCACGCAAATATTATATAAAGCGAATATTCTCAAAACATACCTCTCATACGGATATTGCAGAAACGATACTGAAGCCCCCAAAAATATTGGTCTTCAATACACCGCTATATAACTCAAACCTCTGTACAAAGTGTGAGTGAACTAATTTTTGAAAAATTTTTATCCGTTTTTAATATCGAATTTGAAAAAACTACTTTGCTTGCCAATAAATATCCCGTAATCAAGTTACCCGAGTGAAGTACAGCATGAACACAATTTTTACCCCCACCCAATTCTTAGCTTTGTCCATCCCTAGTATGTTTCGTAATATTGTATCTTAAAATTTATTCTTAGTATTGAAATTCTGCTAGAACTAATGGAATAAGCGTTGCAACGATAACAAATTACGCCTATTGGCGCCTATTACGTCCGCGTAGAACACAAAAGAAAAAATATGGTCAAACAAAACATTTCGATGAGCCCGTCCTATCAACTCAGAAATCATCATTGAGCGATTTACTTCGTCAGCTATCAAATACGTCTTTCCGATTTCCTCTCTCTTTGATTCGCCTCATAATCCACAGTACCAATCAGCAAGACAGCGTTATCTACACGCTGTCGCAGAGGGTAGAAGCACGAACGCGTGCTTCTTCTGGTATTTACCATAGAACTGTCTATTTGCTGTAAAAGAATAGGGCAGTCAGGAAGAAGAAAAAAAAGAATAGGACAGGAGAGGCTGAAGCGAGGTAAGTAGCATATAGTATTATTATCTACGGGCTGTTCAAGGGGCTGCTTTTAGTCCTCTTTTTATCTATTTTCACCGTTCAAAGAGTACCACCAGCTACGACGGCATCAGTGGCCGAAACAGCTTGACAACGCCGGCGGTTATGTTCCATCGATATCTTGCTCTCACAAAATCCAGTTGGGATGGTGAAAGGAAATACTCGCCTGACACTTCGGGCTTTAGGGTCCCCGTTTCCGATCCCACGGTTATAAACGTTATAACGCATGTCTTGCGCTTGGAAATTTGTCATTTGAGATGTATTATTATAATCGTTACTATTACTGTTGTTGTTAAAAGACAAGTTGCGTAAAATGCTATTGATAGCTTGACTTTGTTTTACATTTTCTTTTTGTGACAGCTCTGATTAACCGGGACAAAGGTGGTAATACTAACAACAATGCCGACAAGAGCCCTTGAACCATGGCTGAGCTGATTCAAGTTGACTCGAAGGAATGGTGCAGTGCCACAAAGTGGTGAGGGGAATGGCGTGCTCCAGCGGCCAGACCCACTTTTCTTCCGTCTATTTTCTCCTAACTGTCGAGTCTAGGACCGGAGAGTTCTGCTTGGTTGATCGTCGTTGTCACTCTCCACAATGAACAGTCGCCGTTAGCCGTTTCCTATACTCACTGGTATGAGCCTTTCGAAGGCGCTCATAGGAGGCACAACTAACCTGCAACTCTTATGCCGCCTTGTCCGTTGCGCTGCTCAGTCTCCTCCGTTTACCCATCACTGACCACTTTACCACTGTCGTCATGCCGACCTCGGCAAACAGCAACAGAAGCAATAACTAAAACACTATGTCTGCTCTCACTGCCCGCATTGTTGTTGTTGCTGTTATTGCTATTATGAAAGGCTTCGGTGCCTTAATCCTTAAATCGCTGCGAAAAATACGGTGTGTATTTCATCTTACGTTAGCATCACCGTCCGTTCGTTATTATAGCATAGGTTTATTTCTTGTTTGTTCAGCGAAGTTTAAAGTGAACGAACAAAATCGATAGTGAAGTACACACGAATGAAGCTTTTTACCTTCCGTGGAAAACGGACGACTCCGACATTTGCTACGACCGAGCGAATTCGTATAGCATGACTGAGCACGTGATGACAGCGTGCAGAAGTAGAGCATGTTGTCAATGACACCATGCGAAGCATTCCGCACGACTGTGTTTAACAGCATGGCTAGCGCTTATCTTTATCAAAGTAGAAATAATGTGGCCGTTATCACTCACATGCCGTTATTTCTGCTTATGAACCCTGCGGACAGCGGTTTCTGCTTGTTCATAATGAAGGAAATGATAAAGGCGTGATACCATTTTTCACCGTCATTAGAAGGCAAAAAGCACTTAATTATGAAAAACCTTAACCTAGCCTACCAGGTTTCTGTACAGCCGTTCGGCTCCCAGGGCACATTTTGCACATAATGATAATTCAAATCGCACAACAATTGTCTGCCCATTGTGAGCAAAGCTTTCAAAGCTCCGAAGTTACGCAGAAAAATATGGAGCAAGCTAAGTTGTCAGTCAAGCTGTGCTATTCTACGCGAGCCTTTCAAGTACCTATATAGGCGCCGAGAAGATTCTCACGTTCTCTCAAATTTTGCGGTCACTGATCGGCCTTTAGCGATGTCAGCCGTCCAAAAATCTATAACAGAATTTTTCTTTCGTAATTAAGATTACGCCAGCAACAATGCAATTTCGTGCTACTTTTTGTTCAAGTTCAAACTCAGATTAGCGCTGCAGTTACGGCTAGGGAGCTAGCATCAGCCCCCACCGCAGGGAGGCTGCTACGCTCAATAGAAAATGTGTACATGGTTTTAAAAACCAGCAAAAGCATCACTTAAAACATAGTTATAAGATCTGGCAAACACATTCACGGATAGAGCCTATTCTGTGCAGTAGAATAGAGTGAGAGCTAGGTTCCACGAGAAACAACGCAGTTCCATGAGGAAGAAAGACATTGAACTTCGTAAGACAACGCAGGGATACACATCACGAGCTTTACCCGGAACAATATTCAGCTACGATAGGTTTACGCGTCCTATAGTTCACGTGCTTTTTTACGACTACTAAGCAACTATTGAGTTTTTTTAATAAGCCATTTTTCACCGTCGAAAACCATGTCAAATATGGCGTGTCCTTATGTTTCAAGCATCAGGACAACGATTTCTGTATATGCAAGGCTTAATCTGTACCTGATCTACGACTGAGGTACCTATTTGCCGAGGAAAACTATTCTTACTGAATAAGAGTCAGCTGTGCGCAATTTGCTAAGTGATGCCTCACGCGTAGAACAACTTTCCGCAGAATCTGCACGTCCGATGATGGTCGGATGTCGTACGACTGACAGCACCTACAAATAAACGCAGATTTTTGGATATCTGCGTTCTGTTCGTCAGGCCGATCCATCGCTTCACAAAAGCGTCCATGTAAAACGTGGTAATGTTCTTTTTCAAAGCAGATTGAGAGAGCTCTGGAAAGCGTTTATCAGTGCACTAGCTCATTAAACTTCATATATGCATAGTAGATCGTAAGACGTCTCTCTCTTGTCTGTATCTATATTGATGTATTTGCTACTCCATTCTTGGTGCTTATATGCAATCCTTAGTTATTTATTACGTTGGGTATAGATTTACACTGATCATATCGTGTTGATAAAATTTGTGATGAGTAATTATTTCCAGTCAGAGTGGGCAGCAACTCCATTAGTGGTAGCTGCGTTCCGTCCCGAGCGATAGAATGACGAAGCACTTATTAAGCTGCGACGACCCATCTAAGTAAGCGGTAGCTCGACATCGACAGGTGGACGTCTTGTGATGGCCCGTCACTCACGGGCCTTCAGCTAGCCCGCTAGAGCGCTAGGAACTGCGCGAAGGAAATACGAAAATCGAAAAATGGTATCATGCAACGGAACGAACGATCTGTGTGTGCTAATATGACCAGTAAGCACAAAGAACATCTATGACCCAACCTCTCGGTAGCTGTAGCCAAACGAGTAACAACTGGACCTTTTATGGCTAGACGAAAAATTTGAGAAGAAGCTCAAAATGTTGTTGAAACACATGCGAGGAACCCAGAAGTAGGAAATGTAGGATGGTAGTGGTGTTGCTGTGGGAATAACGCTGAAATGAGCGACATCAGAAGTAACACAACCGTAAGCCGCAGACCGCTTGTTTCTGCTGAGAGTACGATGTCGAACCCCTCAACTCTGTGACGATATTTATATAGTCGTCAAATGCTAGCCTGATTTTGCATGTATTTCGATAAAGCTGATTGGTTTTGCTGTTCCTGCAAAGTCGAAGGTCTTATTTCGTTGAAGATATAAGAGATTTCATCCATGCAGCTTGCTCCCGTTCAAAAAACGTTCAAAAAACCGAAGGGTAATCTAAAAGCGAGATGTCTATCGGATCAGCGAAGTAAATGTCTGAAAGCACAATTTGGAGTTTTAGCCGCCAGGGAAACAACATCGTCCAGGTATCGTAGCGATACGCAAAAAGGACGAAGGGCTCCACAAGTTGTCAACGAGCATAGTAAATTTATCAGCTGGCTTTCATTGACGTCCAAAGCCTAAACGACGAAACTCTATAAATGATATGGCTGTTACTGTCGAGGCTAAAAAAAAATATGTATAACAAAGCAGAATTGTGAGCAACGGGGACGCCATATATTCCTGTTCACTAGCTGTACGTTACTTTGTTGGTTTTCAGACGACCAAGCACGAAAACAATGAAGAACATCTTGCTTGTACTAATACTGCAGATTAACGCAAAAGTAACTTGTTAGATTTAGCGTGCTTGTCAGTTAAGCCTACTGAGTAGAAATGTAGATTAGAGACAGCAATGGTAGAAAATCAGTCAGTAACAAATCGTGGCCCATTCAAAAACAGTGAACATTCTGTTCCTACTTATATAAGCATTAGTAATGTGAATAGTTGTACCCTCGGCAGGACTAATACTCAAGATGATCAGTAAACGTTCTCTCTTTTTAAACAATGATAACAGTAGATTCAGAACATACACTAGCCAGACTAATTGGTGCACTCTATCTAGAAGTTTCTCTATACTTCATTTGTCAAGAAAGCTCGAATGAGAACACATTTGCCCACTGTGAACATAAGATTGTCTAGATAAAGTTTTCAGATACAAATCTATCCCAAACATTACATTAATGAGTTTTACTTATTAGGTGTTCACTATCATTAACGAATCCATCCTCTCCCGTATTCGAAACATAATTATTTTTTCACCGCTATTAAGAACATAATGTCGACCGACATGGGTTGCTTGGCGGGGGGCAACAAAAGCAAAGGAAAGCGTCAGGGCATTCCGGCTCTACCAGTCAACCAAGATTCGGGAGAGCCCAGAGCGCGACAAGCGAACGAGTCCTTATGACGTCTGTTTTATGAGAACGTCGTAAAGTTTAAATAATGGCGCTAGCCCCTATGGTTCATATAAGAATTCCCCACACTGCCTAAGCACACACATATAACTCTCTCGCTTCGTTCTCATTATATAGAAGTTCAGAAGTAGATTAGGTAGCTTTAATGGTCCTATACGACAAATAATATCCTGCAAAATGCAGAAGTGATATATCAAATAAAAGACAATTTGTATTATAGCTATTTTTTTTTTTATCATTACCAATGCTGTGACGATTGCGGCTAACTCGAGAAAGGACAAATGGCTCGATAGGCATTTCCCCGGTTCCGTTTAATAATTTCTCGGGGTTTAATTAACTCGTCAATATACAGGCATAGATAAGTAAACCTAGGTTTACTTATCTATGCCTGAATATTTACGAATCGCTATGAATTACGGCTTGTAATGCATTGCATGTCTACATGTTCACAAGCCGAGCGATTTTGCTGTTATGATATACGGAGCAATGCAATGTTACAACTATTGACAAACTGCAAACCTACTTGTTAGTGTATTTATTTACTCAGGCACAGTGTCTAGGACGCACTCTGTTTTTAGCGGGAGCTAGGCACAAGGAATTGCTAATAATAAATGTACTAGTGGCAAATTCAGGTTTACACCGCAAGTAAACAGATAACCAATGTTTCAACAATGCACTAACACGAAGATTATCTCTTATTGAATTATGAGCATGCTATTATATAAAAAGGTGTCGCTGTGCAGAAGCGTCGCCAGACTGATTCGCGGGGGAATCTATTTTCGAAAGCGTTCAGCTCGCAGTAGGCCCAAATCAGGCTGAACGCGACGCACCGCTTCATTCATAACGTGAATCATAGTCACCGCCCTTGATTAAGAGTTTCCATTAATCAAGCAGACTTAGCGTAGTTTTAAAGCAGCAGCAGTAACAGCATCTGCGCTTACCTAAAGAATAGAAGCAATCTACTTGACGAAATAGTATAGGACACTAACAGAAAAGACAACGACGGCATGTTAATTCGAAGCTACGGTGCGCATATAACAGTAGTCTGGGTGCCGAGTGGATGGTCAACATCTCGCAAATGTCAATAGTATCTTATTTTGATCAGATACTATACACTTAGAATATGATGAAACAATGTTATTTTGAGCCATATGCCTCAATGCATCAGGCTGGGCTGGGCTATGGAATTTTCGGCAACTGGGTTTAACATACAACGACTGAGGCGAGGCCCTAATGCATCTCGTGGATGTGATGGGTCTAGCTGAAGGCACGCGGTACCGCAAAACCTTGCATTATTATAACAAACATCCGGATGTCCTCAAGGGGACAGTAAAAGCATTTTGTTGTTAGCATGCTTCCGGTAGGCCCCACGCTGAAACTGACCCGAGGCTGCCAAGCAAGCTCGGTCGTGAAGCATTCTTCCTATCGCGTTGGGATCTTCACGTAACATCCAGGATGCGTAACTGGCCTGGTAGAGAATGGTCAAAGCCTTTTGTTAACAAAACGAAAATGGTCATAATACGTTACTGTTATTGAATAGATTAAGAGAGAGATTATTGTAATAATGATATAATCCACTTGTGTTAAGCAAGACTACTTAGCTCAAAAGCAAGTAGGGGCATAACTTTGCGATTAACACCGCATAAGAAACATATAAATTTGTTGCATCATTAATCAGATTCCGTCAACCAAAACATGTGTGAAAGTAATTCAGAAAAACAACTAGCGTTTGTGACAGATCTAATAGTAAGTAATCTTCTTTGTACCATCGTGTTATGGCGCAGACTAACAGAATCGACGCCCAAAGAATCGCCCACAAATGTCTAAACCCCTCATTTAGCTTTCTTTGAATTCTTAGTCATTTTATCCATATGTCTCAAGTGGGTTAAACATACATATTTCAGTAGAAAATTAAATGTTATTTAGCGATTTTCGTTTTCCATTGTCATCGCACTCATTTCCGTAAACGACCGCATTCCAGAGTTATTGGTTACTTACCTATTAAATGGGTTTTGTGCAAAAATGTGATACGATCCACCCCACCCGGACTCTCATCATCATCATCGTCCAGCATTTCAGTTATGAACTGCAGCAGGTCTAATAGGTCCGCAGCTTTCTGTCATCCTATTACGCCCGTCTATTTGCTTCTTCGTTCGAGCCACTGCTATTTTGTTGGTAAGAGCATGTGGGTATTTCACCAAGACGCGTTGTCCATCGCCTATTATAATCCCGTGCCTTTCGCAGTCATCATCGAAGTCCAACGAAATATAAGAGAAGTCTGTCTATTCACAAGCGTTCTAACATCTTTCCTTCTTCGAACCAGCTGACGGCATTCCAACGCTGGCACAGCCCATTTACTCGGAAAGCGCGCGAGGTACTCGTGAAGCTCGAACATTGCCAACAGCTCCAAAAGCGTTCGTCGGTAATTTCACATACGGGGTGGAGGGGGCCTAGATGGAGCACCGTGGGCTTTTCTACACCTTCCATTTCAGGTCGTTTACCATCCTAATCTCACCCTATCGTGCCCATTTACCATTCTGGCTCCCTGGGTCACTTCTGCTCTTCAACGCTCCCCTACCGTCGATTATGGTTTGGGCCCTGTTCTGAACTTCCCGACTACGATGTAGTCGCTTGCCTACGCACTCCTTTCGGTTAGGGAACACATACAAAGACAACGCCCCAACGTCCTCAAGCTTCTCGTCGTGTAGATCTCTTTCTCTATACAAACGTCCCCTCTATATGCATAGCCTGTACGTGCCATCCGAGTGTCCTGGGAGACACCATTCACTTTCATAAGTACATACACTTACACATACAATGCGTACAGCTCCCTAACCCACAAAGACAGGCGCACTTACGCGGACGCCCACTCACAGACGCGTACAACGCAACGTCATATTCCATCTTGCGTTCAGTCAAAGTTTCGACACCCGTTGTCATCGTTCCAGTGTGGTTGGTCGCTAGCTACTATGATGAGGCTGATAGCGCTTGCCATATTCCCGTAAGGCCGCTCCATTGCTTTTACTTCGTTGCAACGAAATGCTGCGACCCACATGGTGAAAGGGTATGATAGAAGCGACCTAATTCAGATAAACATCAGCTCCCTATACGATGTCTCTCTCTGTCTGCGTCAAAGCGCTAACTCGACTTAATCAGAAGGCCAGTTACTGCGTTTGCGAGAACACCGATGTGCCAAAGTTTAATAACAACAACGCTAATCGTATCGATAGCTGAGCGGTGGCATTCAATTCCGTTTCGCAGCCGCCAACTAAAAGAAAAGTATATGGCGCTTATGTTATTAGTATTTTCTAGATTCATGCTCTTCGGTAATCAGCCTGAGGATAGCGATCGGCTCCAACTAGCCTGGTCTTAGCTCTTCAACTGAGTTGCCTGCCTATGTACTTAGCTGTACACTATGTATCTATGTAGGTAAAGGCTTTTCCGCCAGTAGCGGTAGTAGTTGGTTTGTTGTCACTCCTGTAGATCATTTAGTCTGACGGATATTATAAACGGAAACGGACCTCGGTGATCTGTTTCTTAGAAGCGATACGTCAACAAGCCGGCGAATTTTTATTGCACGCAGATGGTCTCACAGATAGACGGGGGTCGACGACTTCGCTAGCCCATGGGCATCCTCGTTACAATGCCTGAAAATTCTTCATTGAGCACGTACGGGTAAGAATGCACCCATCGATATTCGAACGAATCCATCCATCTTCGTGACCATAACCTCAACGATTCTGTGAAGAAGTTACAAAAAAAGATGGTTGCATAATTAATTTCTTCCCACGAAGAGAAACCATCGCCTTGGACAGGCAATTAAAACATGAACTAAATAAAGTATTTTTACTTCTTTGGCTGCGAGAGCTATGCGACAAGATATCAACTTTTTAAAACAAATTAGCCGAAAAAGTGAGACTGAATTAAACGTAATAATGTAGCTAATCTGTTTCGTACTGTCTAAACATACCATGGCGTACCCAATGACTTAGAAGTCGCTATGTTGATTGTCAGCTGTAAACACTTTTCTGATCATCGTGAAGTCCAATAAGAAACAGCTTGGGTATTGAAGAGTCGATTTGGGGCTCTAGCTATTCCCTTTAAGTGTTCAAGAATGATCCATTTAGGGCTGCCATTCGGATGACGTCGTAACGTCCATGTATAGACGTTCTATTCTCTTTACGAATTGCAATTATTTAATAATCGTTGATTCTGTAAAACGTGAGTGGCTGTATGAGTGTGTTGATTGTTTTGTTTCCTTCAATCTTGAGCTTATAATTGTCTACTAAATCTAGCAAACCCAGTAGACCATTTTACCAAATATCTGTCTATTCAAATGTTCAGAACAAACTACTACTTGTGTTCACCGAATTTATTTTTATCCAAGTGTTTAACATATCTTTAGTTATCAATTGTGATTAAATCGATCATAAATTTAGGGATAAGGAAATAAAAAAGTTGCCCCATAGACGTATCTCTTTCTACCAACAACCAAAGCAGAATAACTCTATGACCTGTTGTTTTGAAGCTATCAGCTAGCCCGACAGGCATTTAAAGCTACTATTAAGTTTACTAAAATGCTCTGTGTATCGCTTTTCAAGCGCAGAAAGAACTATGGAAAAAAGGAAGTAAATGTTAAGATATACAGATACCACTACCTTTCTATTAATTTATTACTGAGGATAAGGGCTCGTGTTCTTAAACCCCCAGACTTGAAAATTCCTGTTCGCCAAGCGGAACGTGTTATTCAGTTCAACGTCCGCTGCCAGTCGGTCTTTCGGGGTGAGGTGCTGGCAAAGACTCCTGTAGATTCAACGCTTCTCCAAGCAACATTATCGCCCCGCTCCTTTTGCTCCTCCGCCGGTCTAATAAAGGAAACATCAATTCATTAGCAAAGTCTTTCCCTGTGCTCCGTTGTGTGTGGTAGCCAGGCTGTTCCTTTTCGGCCCTGCTCGGTGGTAAGTAGGTAGATATCTCGCCAAAGAGAGCGCTTGTCTGTCACTCAGCTCCTTACTTGACCTCTTTAGCTTCCGCCATTACAACTGCCATTCGCAGAACCGTGACGGACTAAGACGCACGTTGCTGGAAAAAACAAACTGTTAATGAGGACCAGGGCAAAAATATAGCTATTTTCCTCGCGTCATTTTACTGTTGGCTGTCGCAATTCTGTTAACTGCGAAAATTTCGAAATACGAACCAGGACTACGATCACGAACCATGGCAGCGGCTGCTGGAGAAGTGAGATCGCTGGTACATTTTGAGCTTAAGCGTCTGCATTGGCTGTGACGGATGAAGTTACATTTAAATTTGCTAGATGCGCGAAGAACCGTTATTATGCTGACAAGGATCCTGCTGAAGCCTAAGGTCCTTAAGTAATATAATTTGTATATTCTAAGGTAATTCACTGTCTAACATTTGGCGTAGACAAATGAAACGTATTAAATAAAATTATATAAAATCAAAAGAAGCTATCTAATCTATTAGCTAGCATTAACTCTATACAAAAGAAGATAGAGCTTCAATACGCCAAAGAGCACGTTAGGTTTTGTTGTAATATAGAATCTGCTAGAATTTTCTTAAATACCACATCATTTAAATTCGACAAATTATCTTTGATACGTTTACACGCGAGGTCAATTACTTAAAAGATTGAAGTTTGCATTAACTGACGACCTTCACTGTATTCTCCACATTATGTATAAAAATATGGCCCTAAACAATTGTTTTTCTTTGATTGCAAACCAGTATAATTTTTCCACAGATCATTGTGACTTACGCACATAAAACTAAAATGAAGAAAATCGAACAACTATTTGCTTACTATCAAACAGGTTATTACCGTGTAAATTAAACTTGCGCCGTGGCCTTCGGTAACAGACATTTCCTCGTCCGCGAAAACTTAAGGCCCAATGTAAGATCCTATTATGTTTCCGCAATGGGGCGCTATCCAATCGTAGCGATAGTAGTAAGGCTAACTGACAGATGACGAGTTCTGGGGGGGACGACCCAAAGTAAACAACATCCCAAAGCTGACGTAGTCACTTGGTGCAGATTGCTGTGTTGCCCACTTATTTTTGTTGTCAGTTGTTGGATAGTGTGAGTGGGTGATAGCTGCAACAGGGCGGAGAAGAAACAGCCCATTTTATTAACAGTAAATATACGGGAAACCAGGAACTGTGGGACGAGGAGGAAATAGAGGTAATATCTGAGCAAGTATATCCTTATATATTAACACACGCCACGCACATAAACATATAAATGCTCAGGCTTACATTTGAGGACAGATGGCCCATGACAGACATGGCTCTAGGCCTGCAAGGGAAAATACGACGACTACGGCCATGTATCACGCGAATAAGGTTGACGACTACATCATCGAATTTTGGTTGCTACAGCTTTGTACATAAGCTGAAGCGGAAACCCAAAATGAGTGAGGAGTGATAGACATTAACTAACAAACAAACAGAAACACCTCAAATCATAACACGCCACCTGAAAGCATTCGGATATAGCTACCTGCTCATTAACTAATAAAGATGATCAGCTTGAAACAGTACTTCAATGTCAAGCTTCTGAGTGTGAACGTACTAAGTATGTTTCAAATAATGTAATTCTACAGATTTTTAGTTATATTTTTCTTTTTTTCGGGAAATTATTAAGCGTCTATTATGATGTGTAGTGTTATCAATTCTATTTGAAAAGGGAAATTCAAAGTGGCAGTTGGGCCATGCGTTAACTACAAAAATATCTTCTTAAAACCATATTGGCTGAAGCGAACAAGATAGTTATATAGAATTATTCGTCTTACGCAACATAAAAGCAAATATATTTAGATCTGGACGCTAAAATGGATAGGTACGATAAAGATAGTAGCGACAACGACAGCAACAGCCAGTTCTGCCATACTGTTGACTGATGTTTCGGAATCAGCGCAAACCTTATTAAAGTAAACAGGAAACTTACACAATATATATTGCTCAAAACTACGAAAGTTGGTGGAGTTTCACTGATAGCGGTAGGCACTCGGCAAGCCTCAAGTCGTGTCTCAGGGGCTGGCTTCGAGTTCCAGGCTAACTCTAACCATGTTCCCGATGTTTGAGAGCTGCGCAGTATCTCTTGATGGGCGTATCGCAATGCTAAGGCTATGCATATTCATCGAAGCTACCAGACTACTGCTCTATTTCTAGTCCATGTGTTTTTGGATTCTGAACTAACGAAAAGTTTTCAGCTATGGACATTCAACTGAGCGGTTTTAATGAACTGTTGGCTAGACAGTATCGTTAGTAGAATTGGCTTGTTTTCTATTCTAGTAGGTCTAAGGCTTAAGGAAACGTCAGTCGCCATATATTCGTTTCGGCTAAGAGAACAGCACGTGAAGGTGACTCGCTCAATCGGCCTCCATTTCCCCTTGAGTTATTCTTTCCAACCCCATCCTTCTGCCACTCCTGCTGCTGACGTTCGTTCCATTGAAACAAGAAACGACCCCTCGAAGCAAGTGCATCAGTTCCTGTAGTTAACAATCGAATTAATCGCAGCGTCAGCAGACGCATCTTCTAGCCGTCCTCAAGTCTAACTTAAATGGTTTCACTAGTTAGGCTAGGTCCGTGCAATGTCCTGTTTACACTGATCTCCTATCACGTTCTT